GACTCAAGGTTAGGTCCACTATGTTAAGTTCTGTTCGTATCAACTAGAGTAGCCCTTTCCAATACAAATATGTAATATAAATGCACAGGTGACTTTACATTTTTCATTACCATGTTAAAAAGAAAAATAGAACAGGTAAAATTAAAATATTGATAATAAAGCCAGGCATTGTGGAACATACCTATAAACCCAGCTACTCAGGCGGCTGAGGCAGAAGAATTGAAAGTTCAAAGCCATTCTGGGAACTTAAGAGATCCTGTCTCAAAATAAAATTTATAAAGGGCTGGAGATGTAGTCCAGTAGTAGAGTGCTTGCCTAGAATCCAGGAGGTTCTGGGTTCAGTCACCAGCATCTCAACAACAGCCAAATGTTGATAATATATTTTATTTAATCCAATAGATCCAAACTACTGACATTTCAACATATAATCCAATATAAAAAAATGAGGTATTTTGTTTTCTTTTCATACTACATCTCTGAAATTCAGTGTGTATTTTGCAATTATAGTACATCTCAATTCAGACTAGCCACCATGGACATCACAGATCCTAGACCACTAGAGGTTCTCAAATCTAGGGGTACATCAGAACCTCTTTTCATCAAGTCACCTTACTAGTTCCAGGCTCTGGATGAAAGTAAATTGGTGAATAAGACAGATCTCCTAGCATATAAATTTCTTTTCTCTATTGTCAAACCATTAGCATGACACACAAAACCAGTCACAATCCGGACTACTTCTTCATCCCTCATTTTACATCCATATACTATAGTACCTAAACCCTAGGCAAACAGCTTCAGGGTTTCTCAAACACATTAGTCCTTCAAAACTCCTTACCATTATTGTATCAGGGTTTCCTCTTCCTTGCCACCTCCATTCACCTATCTATCCTTTAATACCCAGGGCAAATGTCAGTTCCCTCTGAGTAGTGCTCCCTGGTTTTCAAGTAATTATTTATTCTCTCCATTGTGCATTTTGCTAATACTTCTCTGGCATACTAACATATGCTACAGAATTATAATTTATTTATTCACGAATTTGTCTCCTTACAAAATCAGAGGTTATCTATCAACCTCATAATTTAGACATATCAGACTTGAATCAGTAACACAGAAGGGGTGAGATTATAGTTAACTTGCTGAAAATCACATGCATCCCATCTCAGCTATGCCTATATTATCTATGCCACTGCTATCTTTACCTAAAATAAATCTGATCTTCCTAAAGGAATTCATCACATGAAGATCAACAGTCGCATGTGCTGCAAAATGAATGCACCATGAAAATGGAAAGTGCCTGTTAATCTGCTATATACAGCATGCCCAAAAACTGAAACACTGGTATTCTAGTTTATAAACAGTTTTCTGTACATTTAGACTGTGAATTCCTAAAACCTGATTACTCTTCAAACTCTTAACTATCCCTTAGATACACATAGAAGTCTGATGTCTTTGAGGAATTTCTTATCTAGGAAAAGCATGAATCTGGCTTTAAATGTCTTAGCAAAACACCTATCTTGCCCTCTACTAATTTGATATGGTGAACATATATGCCTTTATGTTACAAAATACATTTATATTTAGATACACATTCACAACCTACATCTCCAATGCTCACATTCATCCTCTATCAAGAGCTTTAAGTCAATTTACATTAGAGAAAAAGCTAAAAGCCACTTTAATATCAATATATGCCATTTATTAAATAGTCAACATTGTATAGTCAACCATGTTGTTTTACATACATTTTCTTTACAACAACACATTGACAAAGCCAAAACCTCCATTTTATAGGTAAGGAAACTGACAATATTGAGTTTAAACAACAATGCCCAAAATAAACGCTCAAAGTACAAATTCCAGATGTCTCTGTCCCTTATGCTAATCAAGTTAATCTAGGAATATGCTGGAGGCAGTTTGTACTAATTTGTAAGAGCTGACTTAAATGTTTAGCCATAATTAAAAAGTCATGATTAAAAATTAAATTATAAATAACAAATTATATTAAAAACAAAGGTAGTTAATTACTCAGAATTCATTTCTTGAATATTTTAGTATATTTTACTCTTCAGATTATTTACATTGTGTGTGTGTGCATATATCTAATATAGATAGTGGGAATACAGTATTTATTACATAATAGTGTGATACTTAGCCTCTCTTCCCAATTACGCATTCAGTGATATCTCTCTGATAACTTCAAATTGACCATTATGGGAGTATTTACACCAAAGAAATTTATAAATACTACAAGGCATGGTTTTCCTCTTCGTAGTTTTTAAACATTTACCAACAGTTCAGAAAATTCATCCATTATATAGTATTTCAAAATACAATACACAAGCTTAATGCCTAACCCACAAATAATGATTTCATGGATTAAGGATAGAATGTCAAAATATGTGTTCTGAAAATGATCTCCCCTCTTAAGGAATTTAATACCTTTCTGGACATTATTATTTAAGATTTCTAAAACTGTACTATTGTATCACACAAGGTGTTAAGAAATCTACACAATTTAAATTGCATTATTTTAGATACCAGAAAATCTTTATATGAAACTATTATTTTTGTTTGTTTTTAAATTATGGATCAAAAATAATCACAGAAAGCTTCTATATATCTTGGAGTCAGGGCTAAGGATTCGGCTCAGTAGTAGAGTGTGTACTTTGCATGCATAAGGATTAGGTTCAATTCCAGCACCACAAAATAATAATAATAACGATGATAGAACATATCTATGTATCTGAAACTATCAAAGAGGTTGCTGCTTATACAACTCAATAGCTTTCATTAAAAAAATCATAATATGGGATAACTGAATATCCACTTGTACAAGAATGAAGATGGACCCTTCCTATATTTAAAAATTAGCACAAAATGTACCAAAGACTTAAATTTAAAAGCTATAACTATAAAATTGTTTGAAGAAAACATAATATAAATCTTTGTGATCTTAGATTAGAAAATGTTTTTTTAAATTACAACAAAAGCACAAGCAACAACAACAAAACAGATTAAGTTGGATTTCATTAAATTAAAAACTTTTGTGCTTTAAAGAACATATCAAGAATGAGAAGACAGCTGGGTATGATGGCAAGTGCCTGCAGTTCCAGCTACCTGGGAGGCTGAGGCATGAGAATCACCAGAGCCCAGGGGTTCAGTTCTATAGCAAAACTACTTAAAAAAAGAATATAAGGGGCTGGGGTTGTGGCTCAGAGCCTTAACTCAATTTACATTACAGAAAAAGTGGCAGAGCCCTTGCCTAGCCTGTGTGAGGCACCAGGTTCGATCCTCAACACAACACATAAATGAATACAAACTAAAGGTACATCAACAGCTAAAAAATGTTTAAAAAAATATGAATACAACACACAGAATGGCAGAAAACATTTGCCAAGTCATATATATAATAAGGGACTTAAATTTAAAATATAATGAACACTTAAAATTCACTAATAAAGGCAATCCAATTTTTTAAATGAACAAAGGATCTCTGAAGATACTAAATTGTTAATACGCACATGAAACGATGTTCAACCAACATTAGCTATAAGGCAAATCAAAAACACATAGATTATCACTTCATATCCACGAGGGTGGCTATATTTTAAATGTCAGATAATAATACTTGTTGATAAAGATGAGGAGAAACTGCAATCCTCATACTCTGCTGTTAAAAATGTAAAATGGTGTAGCCTCTTTTCTTTCTTTTTTTAGGTTAGGGGGTGGGTCTCACTATGTTCCCAAGGCTGGTTTTTAAACTCCTGGATTCTTGCCGCAGCTTCCCAAGTGCTAGGACTATAGGCACACAACACTACACCCAGCTTTGGTGCAGCCTCTTGATAAAATAGCCTAGCAGTTCTTCAAAAGGCTACACATGGAGTTACCATATGACTCAGTAATTTTACTCCTTTGTATAAATCCAGAAGAAATGAAAACATATGTTCACACAAAAATTAATACACAAATGTTCTTAGCAGCATTATGCATAAGAGCCAAAAAAGCAGAAACAACTTAAACACCCATCAAATGATAAATGAATAAACCAAATGTGGCATATAAATACAACATAATATTGTAATATTATTTGGTAAAAACAAGGAATAAAATACTGATGTATCCTATAATCTTTCATGAACCTTGAAAACATGCTAAGTGAAAGAAGCTGGTCACATAAGATTGCATATTTGATTCCATTTATATAAAATGTCCAGGATAGGAATATCTATAGAAAGAGGAAAGGGTGATTGCCTTAGGCTGGTGGTCAATAAGTAACAAGAAGGGTTACTCTAAAAGATATGAGATTTCTCTTCAGAGTAATAAAAACTGATTATGGTAATAGCTACATGACTATTAAAACCATTTCTCTACAAATCAGTTACAAACATAAACACAGAATTAAGGATGATAAATTTCTTGAAAAACAATAGGAAATTTCCTCTGGGAAATATTCTCATTCCTAACAAACTTTTTTTTTTTTTTTTTAAGGTGAACAACATTGTAAATTATATCCTTATTTGGCTTTACTGACAGCAAACTCACAGCTAAATTTTGTGGTCCCATATGCGTTCCTCCACCTAAACTTTCTAGTTCAGTTTTTGTTAACCTCCTGCTCTGCTTTCATTGTTTCAGTTTATATGTGTTCCACTGTAAGTTACTTTAATTTTTATTGGAAGCAAAATATAGCAGAATTCTGAAAACTTAAGAATTTATTTAGATACAATCCCCACCCAATGTACAAAACCTTATGAAGTTCAGCTTGAGCTCTGCCAGTCAACACCTTTCATCTTAACTATCAGGAAAAAACAAACAAAACAAACAGTTTTTGCAGAGAATATTTCCCCTCTAAATTCCATTAAGTATATAGAACATAATAATACCTAATTATTTATATCTGTTTATTTACCATATATTTAACATACATCATAACATTTGAAACAGTATTCAAAAGAATAAATCACTACTAAAATTTAACTGGGTTTTGGGAAACTCATTCCTACCCTAACAGGTGAGGATGACTCCTCAGTATTTCGTTTCTGGGGTTCAGCATCCATATCTTGGCGCTTGTTCTTCATTCTTTCTCTGAGATCTCCTGTGGGTCTTTCTGGGGACCTTTGTATCAAAACACAAAACAATACAAAAACCAAAAATTTGTATTTATGTAACATTTTGTAAGTATGTATTTCTAAAAATAACCTCATAAATCTCAATATAATTTTTTTAATAGTCCTTGGCTCCTCGATTTCTGAAAAACAGTTATTAGTAGTTGTTGGTAAAGAAGTGGAGAAATCGCAATCCTCATGATCTGCTGTCAAAAATGTAAAATGATGTAGCCTTTTTTTTGTTGTTGTTGTTTCAGCTTAAATATGAATATATTGGGCTGGGGATGTGGCTGAAGCGGTAGCGCGCTCGCCTGGCATGCGTGCAGCCCGGGTTCGATCCTCAGCACCACATACAAACAAAGATGTTGTGTCCGCCGAGAACTAAAAAATAAATATTAAAATTCTCTCTCTCTCTCTCTTTAAAAAAAATATGAATATGTAAAAACTTGAGAGCAACACAAATTTTCTTACAATATAAATCAAATGTGTATGTTAAAATTCAATGGGGTGGGTGGGTTGGGGTTATGGCTCAGTGGTAGAGCGCTTGCCTCACATGTATGTGGCAGCACCACATAAAATACATGATTCCCAGCACCACATAAAAATAAATAAATAAAATAAAGGTATTGTGTCCATCTACAACTAAAAATATATTTTAAAAATTCAATGAGGTGACAGGTACTGGTGATATGAATAAGAAACTATATGTGAACTGAGAAAAAATGAATATGTGATTAATAGCTTGACTTCTTTAATTATTAACAACATAAATATATTAGTCATATTTGGAAGCAAAAAGAGTTTTAAGCTATAAAGTCACAAAATTATAGTTATCGAGGCAACAGCATTATCATCTACATATGTACGTGATTGGATACAATATTAACAAAATACAAAAGTATTTTATATAGTTTAAAAATTAAAGTAAATATATAAGTTTTGTGATAACTCTGGCAATTTTTTTAAATTTTAAAATATAAAATCAGAATAAGCTAGGCATACTGCCACACACCTGTCCAGCGAATCAAAAGGCTGAGGCAGGAGGATCGCAAGTTCGACACCAGCCTCAGAAACTTAGTGAGGCCCTGAGCAACTCTTAGTGAGACCGTATCTCAATATAAAAAATAAAAAGGGCTTGGGATGTGACTCAGTAGCAACACACCCCTAGGTTAAATCCTTAGACCCAAAAATTAAAAAATAGAAAAATAAAATATTTCAGAAAAAAAAATAAAGAATTCAAAGCAAAATTTTAGAACAGTGATTTCATACTATATGGATTTTTAAATTGAAGGGAAATTACATATATTTATATCCAACAATGGCAAGTCTTCATAATTTGTACTGGGAATTTGACAGTACATGACTATGAAATTATTTCACACTATTACTAACTAGAAGAGAAAGGATAAATGGAAAAAAAAGGTGACTTCAATAACTTTGGAAGAGGGTAATAGAAGTTAAGGAATGCACTGTGCCTCTTTGACCATGAAAAAAGTGCTACAGAAATACCTGTATGTATATATGCATAAATATGAGCAAATCACACAAATATTCATATCTATTTCAGGTAATAAATGATTAATTAATTTATTCAATTTATCAATTATTAATACAAATGAAATGGTTACTAAATAATTTCAGATGATTCACTTTAAAGAATTTCACTGATACTTGTATGTACATTTAATAGATCTATATAAAATTCTTAACAGTTAAAAGTGAACTTGAAACTGGAACCAGTACTTAAATGCCCTAAATTATAATTATGTCATAGATCTAAAGCTTATGGGCCTGGTTTCCCTTATATAATTAATAAAAAAGTATTATGTACTTATTTCTATTTTATACAGAATCTAACAGAATGAATGCTCAATACACAATGAAGACTCAATGAATGACCTAAATGTCTTATCCAGAGATAGCATTTTCTTAAATACATAGCTCTTCTTCCCATCGTTGAATCACATTATGAACTACATTTTTCTTCCCTACCAAAAAATAAATAAAAGCACAAAAATACACAAATATTGAAGAAGATATCAGATAGAAAATACATACAAAGTAGCACAACTATAACAACAAATTCTTTATTCTAAATCTAGTAATAATATTACTTTTTCTCTTTTAGATAAATATCTCCATGTTCCTCAAAACTATCTCATATGTAAAAATTCTGAGTCAGCTAACACTAAATTTGAGTTAGGTAATAATAAATTTCAGACAAGTTAAAGTAAGTATTAAAAGTGTGGTATTAATATAAACAAAACATAAAATTATTAAAACAGTTTCCCTAGATGTGTTTATGTATATAATTGTAGGTAATTAAACATACATAATAAAGACTAATTTTCCCATTAAGGAGTGACAAATGACAATCTAAATACAAATAAAAAGAGTATTCAGCAACAAAGAAGCTAAAATGTATAGTGTTTAAGCGAATAGTAAGCTAATGTCAAGAGTCTGAATTTTAAATTCCACTAAACTTCAAAATCTATACACACAAACACCCAATTAAAAGAAAATCTACAATTGCTAATATATGGTTTTTATACTACTGCTGCAGCCAAACAATCAGCATACCTAATTTTAGTACTAGGTAAATTATTTATCAATCAAATTTAAGTTGTTTTTGTGACAATCTGTAGGTATGCCACCTCTATAAACATCATTACAAAATCATGAGGGAATTGAAAAATAAATAAATAAATAAAAAGGTCTTCATTAAGCAAATTCAATTTAGCCAAGCCTCTATTAACTGCAAAATGATGTTCTAAAAAGGGAGGATGTTTATTATGTACAAGTAAACACATTGTTTCATTTACATTAACATATTGTGATAAGGGATTGGGCATTCCCCTATTTAAGTTTTAATATGGAATTCTCTCTTAAACAGAAATTTAATACATATTTAGGGGAAAAGTAAGCTATATATTTATTACAAAAAGATCTACTGCCAAAACATGTAAATACTAAGCATATATGCTAATTTTAAAGGTAAAATCTTATTAATATAAAAAATAATTAATAAATTATTTTGATCTTTGAATATTGACAAGACTACAACCAAATTAGAAAATATGACCAATTATATGGTTTTACTTCAGATTTTTATACTAGATGAACTGCAAAAGCCAACGTCTAACAATATATGAACAATTCAAATTCCTTCATTTACCTTCTATAATTGCTGCTATAACCTTTACCACGAGGTGAAGGGCCATGTACGAATCTACACGTGTTTCCATATAGGCAGTTGCCAGTCTTCAGCCAGTTACGGCACTGTGTCTAAAAGACAAATATTACTACGTAAATTTCATATTTATTTCTGAAGAAAAGATGCTAACAGGACAAAACTAAAACAAATACTATCGAAATTCCAGCTAATCTATGATATATTACTCCCCTAATGATAAAAAATTTACAAAACGAAAAACAAAAACATAAATGCAACCACCTTTTCCACTCCTTTTTATAAAGAACATTAAGCAACATTTATTAAACTAACATTCCTATAATAAAACAATCTTCCACCTCTATGATACTGATCAGAATTTCTATAGCAGGATTCTAATAGAAACTCTGGGACTACTAGTGACAGACAACTCACCTCTGCTGTACTGCCAGTGCTTGGTCCAAGCCTCTCAAATACACTGGGTCTTCGAGATGTGCTATCAGAGATGGTCTTGGTATTTTCCACCGTGACCTTCCTCCTAATTTTTGACATTTTGTATTACTTTAACCAAAAAAGAGAGAAGCAAAATTGTGAATTTCTTCAGTTTTAAATAACTGAGCCCATAACTTACAAGTAAATAAAACTAAAGGCAAAATTACATAGGATTCTCCTTGGGGAAAAGAGTCAGAGGAGAAGTGATATAGATAAACAAAAATAGCCTATCTTCCAAAACATGCCTTATTAGTAAAGTCACAACAACTTTGAAATCTGATGTCTAGAAACATACTTTTTCTGCATGGTGAGAAAAAAAATTAAGATTCTATTCACAGTTTTCATAGTAGAATTAACCTCAGAAAATATAGTACCAAATGTTTAGTTTACAACTTATTTACAAAATTTGTTTCAAAATTTAGCAACTCATTCCTTTAAGAAGTTAACTAACAACTAGTTAACTGAAAAAAAAGATATGTCAAAGAAAATGAGAAAATCAAATCAGATAAATTTTTATTGTAATTTTTATTTTTTATTGTATTTACTGTATAAAACTCTTTTACACAGCTTAAGTGACAACAAAAGTTATACTTCAAAAACCAGCATGGGAGAAAAATGAATACCATTTAAATATTTTGCCTTACAAAAGTCAAAGAAAAGCAATCTGATCAAGAATATTTACTTTATAGTACTACAGACACAGAAACAAAGAAAGAGGGAGAGAGAGAGAGAGAGAGAGAGAGAACGAATGAACACTGCAATGTTGCAATGTTAATAAAATGGTTTTCTTTCAAACTAGGAAAGATTGTAGAACTAGAAAAAGTCAAGGTGTTTCTATAATCTATCCTATGCTGACATAAAAAGTCAAAGGTGCTAAAAGTTGGTCGGATGCAGTGGTGCATGCCTGTAATCCAGTGGCTTGGGAGGCTGAGGCTGGAGGATTGAGAATTCAAAGTTAGCCTCAGCAACTCAGTGAGGCCCTGTCTCTAAATAAAATACAAAATAATAATTGGGATGTGGCTCAATAGTTGAGTGTCCCTGAGTTCAATCCCAGGTACCAAAAACAACAACAAAAAGGTGCTAAAAGTAATAAACAGGCTATTTTACCACTATCAGCAGCAAGTAACAAAAAACAAATTGTAAGAAAATGTCTAAAAAGTAAATGATAATATTCTAACACTAACAAGAAAATGATAATATTCTAAAACTGTAATATAGAGATAATTAGACTGTATAACTGGATGATTCAATGACAAGTAAAAATATGACTTAAGGACAGTATGATATACATTAGAAAACAATATTAAACTCTAGACCAAGAAATAACCCAGAGCATACCATGGAAAGCACTGTGAGAAGTGGGTAGGAACTGCCTAACCAGGAAAAAAAAAAAAAGGAAAACAAAACAACTAAACTATATCACACTTTATATTGGCTAAAACTTGTTATAAAAAAATTCCTAGAATGAACCATGACAGCTAAAAACATAAAAGTTCCATTTGGTATAGAATTAGTCTTTATAAATATTCTTTAATATAGTTTCAAAGTAAAGACATAGTACTTGGAAAAATATTCACAGTATTAAAAATAATAATTATTATTCTTTTATAAACAATGTTTGGTTGAATTGGGTCCTTCAGGTCACATTTTGAAAAGATCCAAAAAATGAGGACAACATTTGACAGGTAAAAACAGACAATGACTCAAAAGGAAAAGATGAATGATATAATGATTGCTTTAAATTGGAAAATTTTATTGTTCTTACTCTTTTAACGTAAAATATAATCAGTATTTTAGTACATTAGCAAATTAGCTTTTAATAATTCAAAGATAGAGAATAACTTAAATGAACAGGAATTTGCTACAACATAGAATCATTTATGTATCAACTGTTCTCCAAACGAGGAACTGCATGCCATTAGTGTCAGCCTTATAAGATAATCTTAATTTTTCTGAACTCATTTGCAACTCAAATATGAATTTATAGAGGAAAATTTAGGGCAGAGTTTCACATGTCCATTTGATTCATTTAACATAAAAAAACGTTTAAGAGTATAACAGCTAAGAGAAATAAAGCTAAGAAAAATCTTCTAGAAAATGTAGTTTTAACTGAGAAAAATACCCAGAAATTTACAATTTATATCCACCTAAGATTTAATAAAAAGTAAATGTGACACAAAATATATAAGAAAAGTTTAAAAAAGAAAAACACATTTTAAAGTTCCATTTTATATTACTGTAAATATTAACACAGTTGTACATTATAATCCCCATTATTTCAACTTTAAAAACATTTCTTTTAAGAAACTTAAAATTGAATTAATTCAGGCAGGTGCAGTGGTGCACACCTGTAATCCCAGTGGCTCAGGAGGCTAAGGCAGGAGGATTGTGATTTCAAAGCCAACCTTAGCAACTCAACAAGGCCCTAGGCAACTCAGTGAGACCCTGTCTCTAAATAAAATATTTTTTTAAAAAAAAGGGCTGAGGAAGTGGCTCAGTGGATAAGCACCCCTGGCTTCAATCCTCAGTACCAAAAAAAAGAAAAAAAAAAAAAGAATTCTAATATTTCTTCATGAGCTATACCTAGAACTTGTAAAGAAGGACAACCTTTTAGTCTGCCTTATCCCACCACAGTGCCTCAAGAAGACTAATGGGTTAGTTGTGTTCCCCAAACCCCCACCCTCAATGCACCTCACTCCCAACATACTCTCATCCATATAAGGGGGAAAAACCAATGGTTACAGATTCCACAGTTGGGACAATGAGCTATTTATTATTATATCTGAAACAATAGTCAGCTACTATCTCCTTTCTTGTTTTTCTTGAGAGCTCCAGAACTCTTTATCTGCTTCATCACTTTCATTTGGATCACTATTATTCTCCTCTGACCTACTGCTAGAAAGCACCATTTCAGAGCTTCTTTCCAATCCCAGATCCCTAAAAATTCTGAAGATTGCAAAGGGTTTAGTCAATTATGTCAAAGACAATCAAGTGAACACTATTGATCCAAGATTACAAACCACTCCCATCTCCTTGTATCCCTGCAACTAAAAAAGTTAATTCTCACACAGTGTGAGGATGGCCTTAGTCCTGAGCCTAAGCAACTCCATTTTAAAAACTCCAGTTTGAAACCTGCTACAGAGCCCTCCAGTATGGCCCTCGGGCACAAACAAGTCACTTCTCAGAATGAAGCCTCTAGCAGGCTGTCCTCACTCTATAAGGGGGAAAGACAAGAAAATCAGAGGGAAAGGCACCTGATTAAGAGGGAAAGGCAAAAAGATCAGGGTGGGGACTACCAGACCAGATGTTTTAATCCCAGGGTAAATGATGTCACAGAGAAATCGGGGGCAGCTGATAAGGACTAAAAGGGGGGGGGGGTGATCAAAAGCCCCAAAATTTCCTATAAATAATAGAGCAAATCAAGAGACATTCAACCAGCCGATACTGATGCACACAAGCTGAAGAGCCTGATGAGGACCTGGACTGACATTCCATCACTTATCATCATTTGCCTGATGATCCTCTGCATGGTCCTCACCACTCTCAAACTCTTCTATAAGCACATCTTGACCCTGGTGAGAGCTGCAACTTCTCCCTACAACCCTCTCCTCAGGCAGCTGTCAGCTCCACCCCAGGAGAAGCCTGCCTTGGTTCCTGATCTGATCACCACGGTCTGAGCGTGCATCTGCTGGACTTAAAGCCTCAGACTTTTGATCTGATACTTGAATTTAGCATGCAGAGGGACTGTCTGTCATTAGCCTATCATGATTAAGTGTGTTTGTAGTGCTTAGAATTAATCTAGAATAGTCTGCTGTGAATTGTCTATTGCAGTGCCTAGTATTAAGGATTGTCTTTTTTTTTTTTTTATTAAGAACCTATACAGTGAAACTGTATTGAGTGATTTGAGTAAAGCACTGAAAAGGGCAGAAGAGTGTGATCATTTATTTCTTCTCCTGGACTGCATAAGTCACACCTTTTGCCCATCGTGACACACAGACAAAACTGCTTTTACTGGTGACATCAAAAACTACTCAAGGGGTTGGGGTATAGCTTAGTTGGTAGAATGCTTGCCTAACATGCACAAGGCCCTGTGTTCAATCCCCAGCAGCAACAACAACAAGAAAAAAGAAAATACTCAAGATTTACCTATACAGTTATTTTCCTACAAATTTTACTCCTAGTTACTGTTGAGTCTTCCAATTTAGGGAAGAAATGCAATGAAGTAAAGATGTACTCTCTATTTTTCAGAGTCCACTAATGCCAGACCTTGCCCTAAAATAGCAATGTATCTTGGAACCAAGTCTAGAGAAGACCCAATCAACTAAAGAAAAAGGGGAAAACAGAAATTAAAGATATTTAACTAGAATTATTTATTATCTGCTATGGTCTGGATGAATGTTCCCCCAAACTCCATATATAAGGTTTGGTCCCCAGAGTGGCAGTATTGAGAGGTGCTGTGGACCTTTAAGCGGTGAGGCCTAATGGAGGTCCTCAGACCACTGGGGACAGGGATACTCTCAAAAGGGATCATGGGACCTAAGTTGGTCTGTTTGTCTCTGCTTCCTGGCTTGTGATGCAAGCAGTCTGGTTTTATATGTGTTTCTGCAGACTGTGCAGCCCTCCCCAGGGGCCCAAAGCGATGGGACCAATCTTGAACTTGAATTTCCAAAAGTGTAAGCCAAAATAAACTTTCTTTCTTCTTAAGTAGCCTATCTCAGGTATTTTGTTATAGTGACATGAAATTAACAAACCATTCATCTAGGAACTTCTATCAGTAGTCAATAAAGTTATTAGTACAGAGACATTCATGAATTTTCACATATAAAATGCTTTTGATTACAAAGAACACAATATATAACTTTTAAAATTCCATTTGTCTGAAAATACATACATACTACAATGCACCAGAAATAACTACCTTTTCAAATATTAATTTAAAACTATGTAACCAACTTAAGTAACAATTCGAATTTTCAATCCTATTTAATAGTTTGGGCCCACAAAAGAAGATGAATACTATAACAAAATAAAATGTAGATTTCATTAAGGAGGAAAATCTTTTCAACTTATATTTGAATAGGCTTCAAAGAACCTTATAAATGCTTCCAAGTAGAAGCGTTAGGAACAATAAGATATAAATGGTGTCAAAGAGACTTTCCTATTTCTAAGGTCACATCAATAACTTATTAATTTAATTTATTCTCTTCTCTGAACGTTTTCCTCCATTTTTGATTTGGTTTAAGTTGTCATCACACTTCCCCTTGCATCATGTTTTCCCAAACAGAGGCATCATCAGAGCCAGGTAACACTGGTTCAGGTCTATTCAGTTATTCTACTTCTGTCCATTTATAGAATAATAAATATCTGGAGTTTCTATAATCTCTTTTCAATTAAAAAAAAAAAAAAAGGACACCAGCTTAAGAGTCTACTGATTAAAGTAGTCTTAAAACTGGGAATTGCTCCTCTGCTCCAAGGAACTTAACAATGTCACAACACATTCAGAGGTTCCTAAGATAGATACACTGAAAAAGGAGAAACTTAGAAGGTCATCTTTTTGAATAAATAATTATACCTGAGGCCTGATTACTAAAGTCTGGTCAACAAAACATATACAAATTGAGATTCTTTTATCCACAATGCTTGGGACTGACCACAAGTATTTTGGATTTCAGATTTTGGAATGTTTGAAAACATAAGATAACTTAGAGATGGGACATAAGTTTAAACACAAAATTCATCTATGTTTCATATAGACTTTATACACATAACCTGAAGATAATTCTATAAAACATTTTTAGTGTGTCTGTGTTTTAACTACAACCATCACATGAAGTCAGTATAATTTTCCACTTGTGGTGTCATGTCAGTGCCAAAGAATTTTGGATTTTGGAGTTTTTCAGATTTGGGATGCTCAACCTGTATAGATATAGTACCTTCACTTTTAATCCATTATTACATCTTTCCTGTGTCTCATCTACTGGTAACATAAATGAAAGCATAACTCATTTTAATATGGATAAGTAGCAGCACAACACTAGAAAACTGTTAAATAATTAAGCAATTTAAACTACATATTACTAACTAGTCATAGGACAAATCTCTATATCCAAATTTCGAAGATTAAAAGCATTATATCAAAAATATTCTTTAGATTCTTGAGATTCTTAAAAGGAACAAAACTGATGCAGAGGTTTGAGAGAACTTTAAAAAAGAATTTTCTAAAACAACCTTCGAGATTGCTAATCTGTAGATTTAAGACTAAAACTATTTCAAACTGGACTCCAAATAGAAGCAACAATATATGTATTAGCAAGGCAATTATGTAGTACTGTACAGTAATTTATTAAAAAGACTGTGCAAGGAACATCCTTTGTTGGCAGCTACTATAAAGTGAATAGATTTACAATATATAAAACTATTTTTATAAGAATAAAAGACTTATAATATAGATATTTATATATGTATACAGATATATGTATATACGTGTGTGTGTATATATAATATTGTGATTGTATCTCCCACCAGTTAAATTTTAACTGCTATTAAATACCTGGTAAAAGTACTTCCACCTCTATATAAGATGGGCAGGGGGTAGATGAACAGGTGTGGAAAACTAATTCTCCAAATAAACATAAGTGAAACAATTTTTGCTTTCCATATGTAAATACCAATGCATATTAGAATATAAATCAACACTGATGACATTAAAATTTTAGTGACACATAGAAGTTAAAACAGCATTCATTTATTATATTTTAGTATTTCAAAATTATATTACAGATATGAAATTGAGATAAGTTTTCACATTTAAAATATGCAACCAATATTCATTTGGAATCACCATTAATCTGGAAGTCAGTAAGTTGCATACAATTGGCCCTCCATATCATTAGTTTCAACAAAGTATATCTGAAAAATATTCAGAAATAAAAAGTGTGCATACTGTAAACGTTCATTTTTCTCTTTTTCCCTAAATAACACGGTATAGCAATAATTTACATAGCATGTACAATGTATTAAGTATTCTAAGCATAGAGATGATTTAAAGTATTCAAGAGGATGTGCTTAAGTTATATTCAAATACTATGTCATTTTTAAATAGGGACTTGTGCATCCAAGGAATTTGGTATACAAATCAATCCCCTGTGGATAATGAAGGTCAACTGTATATTTGATAAAAGTGAATCCTATCAGATGCACAAGTGAAAAGTCTTAGTTTCTAAGTACACTATTCTTACAGACACAAATTGCTACATGTCTGTATCAACTTTCCTAGTGTCTTGTCTGTTATAATCTAAATACTAAATTGGAAATTATTTGAAAATTTATAGATTATGTCCACAAAACTCTTCAAAAAACTGTCACTTAAGTCAGTATTGCCAAATATAACAGAACTAGACCCGGCTACCCCACACCATCTACGCACAGACTGTACTGCATAATTATATGGATTTATTGCAACAGTATCATGGACTTTGAAAACTTGAGGCGTCAAGATCATTTCCCAAACTTTTAAAATTACTTCTTTGAAAATCCAAACATCTGCAAAGATTACACACGCCCAAATTTTTCAAAATAGTTCAAATTAGTTGAAAGCCCAGTAATACAACTGAACATTGTATTCAATGTTAGGACCTTGCCCTCCACAAACAAGATCCTACCAAAATCGCAAATATTATCAACTCTGAATAATTTCCAGCCACATAAATTATTCACCTGCTTAGAAAAAGAAAATGCCAAATGTCAGACCCTCTCCTTTTACTCCACCTTCCCCAGTTTCGGACAGATAGTTGCCAAAAGTAACTACCTAGGGAATGTGAGAATAAAGTAGCACTCCTCAACTCCAGGACCTACGTCGTTATCTCTACCGAGAAATAAGCAAGACACATAATCAAAAGGAAGACCCCCTTTTTCTCTAATAGACTGGAAGGCGTAAAGAGGGAAACTCTAAATCTAAGCGGGTGGCGCACCCTTTCAAAGCATACGAATGCGAATATCACGCCAGGATTCCCATTGCCTGTTACCAAACAGGAGAGGGGCACAATCTTGTGTCAGTGTCGACCTGTCCCCCTTAGACAAAGGTCACAATCATAACTACAACAAGAAACTAGGTCTGAGCGCAATAAGTTATTACAGAACTAGGAGTGGGATGCTTAAGCAGAGCTCAAAATCCCAGCGTAACCTAAGCGGGACGGTGGACAGCCAACCCAGGCCTCCCCACTCCGGGCCCGACCGACGCCTTTCCTCAGACACCCACACCAATTCACTGAACGCTTACCTCCTCCCCAAGCACCCTCCCCAAACGCAATCCTTAGGTGTCACTGCCGCCTCCGCTCCGAGGAGCTGGGGAGGCGACTCTCTGTCCCCGCGCCTGGCCCCGGGAGGAGGACGACGAGAGGGAGGTGCACGCGCTGCTCCCGGGAACCGGCCCTCAGCTAGAGAGGGGCCCGCGGGGCGTCTCAGAAGTGGAAACAGACTTCCGCTTCGCCAGTGTCAAGCGAGAACCGGACGTAGGAAAAAACAGAACCAAGAGACTGGAGAGTACGAAAACACTACCAGGCCGCTAGGAGGATAGCCTCAAAACGCCGCCGGAAGTCAGGGTTTACCCTGGTCCTCTATAGACCAAGGCAACTTCCGGCCGCCGGATTAGTCGTCAGCGCGCCGGCACCGCCCCTTGGTGGACACGCCTCCGGGGCGTTAGGTCGGCTGCGTGTTTAGGGCGTTGGTGATCCACACTTGTGTTGTGAGATCGCGGGAAGGACTCTGGGAGCTAGGGGCCGGTGAAACTCGCCCTTAAAAGTAAAGTTAAGGACTTTCCTCTTTTTATTGTATAATTTCTTGCAATAAACAACCGCGCAAAACGCCATACTCGTTGCTGAAAGTAACCACAGCCATTCATTCGCCTCAACAATTGTTTATGGAGCCGGCTGAGCTGGAGCAAGAGGTGATATTTATCTCGTGTTTGACACCCCTCCCCTTCCAGGGCCTTTGTCTATTACTGTGAAGCAAATGGAATACACGGTTGTGTTTTTGAAGACGCAAACAAATTTATTGAAAAATCGGGGAAGAAATCTTTAGTGTATTCCTGGCCACCTTTCCTTTTGTTGCAAGATCCAGTGATCTGCATGAAACTAGTTATTAAAATTGCTTGAGATAGCTAGTCAAATATCAGAAAGCAAAAGATCAGTATCTGGGCTCTTACAGATTAAAAAAGAAAAAGTTAAAAACACTCGTGAACTCCCTTGTCTATCGTGATTTCCAAGTAGCATGCATTTTGTTTTTGACAAAATCAAGAACTAGGCAAACCTTTGATCAAAACTATGGATCAAGCTTAATAGAAACTTGCACAACGATTTGGTTTTTGCTGGAATCAGTAAATTAAGAATATGGAAACAAAGTGAGAAATCAAGAACATTAAACATGTCTGACTACATGCCAAGCTATTTTAGCAACAGCGGCGAGAGCTTCTGTACAAGTGGGTTTGATGTAACGCTCAGGCAGCAAGAATCCATATCTGCCTTTATCTCGAAGTTCAATTGTAAATGAATATTTGATGCCCAAATCATAGATCCAGTCATCGGAACCTCCAGGAGCTAGGTCTAAAAGAAAAAAGAAATTGCTTTTTGAAGTATAACTGTCAAAATTAACGATGGGATTTTTTCTTGTAAAAAATGAAAATGGCTGTGCTTTTTTTCTGTAACCTATGTTTCCTGTAGAAAGTAGAGATTGAGGGAAAGCAGGTTAAGGAAGAAAACAAAAATGACCCATAACTCTCCCATAATCCTTCGAAGAAGTGATAATCACCAATAACTTTGTAATGTCCTTTTTTTCAGGGCATGCTTTTGCTTATTTTTTTTTCTTACTACACAAATAAAATCACAGTGTGCACACTGTTTTGTAATATTTCTAAATATTATCATTGTGATATTTCTAAATATAGTATAAGTTCAAATCTACACCATTTCCTATAATCTCATAGCATTGCTTTGTAAACCTAGATATAATTATTTTAAATGTTTATTTAATTGGGTACCTTTAATTTTTTTCTAATTTAACTAATAGAAACAACTTCACAATGGGCATCCTTGCTTATAAATAATTGCTTCTTTGTTTGTGTAGTCTGTTCTTTCCTTCAAGTAGATTGGCTAGTCTAAGGTTATGTACTTTATTTTTACACTTATGAGGCATGCATTTTCAAATGTACTTCAAAAGAATTGAACCATTTATACTTCCAATAGCAGGTTATGAACATGCCCACTTCTCCCCCCTACACCATTGATGGAAATTATGCATTCCAGCAATGTTGTAGGTGAAAATAATAGTATTAATTCATGTTTCTTTCATTATCAGTGATTTGCACATTTTGTTTGATATATTTATTATCCATCTTTATATTTTATATCAATTATCCTTGCTCATTTTCTACATTGTTCATTTACAGATTGTTCATAAAAACATTAATGCTAATAGCCCTGTGTAATATGTGGAAAATTTCTCTCTCATCTGTATTTTTTGGCTGGCAACTCAGGTTATGGCTGGGTTTTTGTATTTTAACATCTGATCATACTAGAATTTATTTTGGTAAAACATTTGTTAATAACTAAGTTTTTATTCTAAATAATGTCATGTTTTCCAGCTCCATTAATCAAATAGCTTCATGCTCTTAATTGGCTTGAAATACCTTCTTTATGAGGTACCATATCTCATATGTTTTGAATATTTTTCTCTATTCACTATTCCCTTCTATTGATTTGTCTCTTCCAGGATCAATTCCATAGTGTCCCGATTACTATAGGTTTATAATATACTTGTTGGGGGCAAATTCTGTCTCACTAGTCTTATTTTCAGTATTTTACAAGCTCTTCCAAAATTTATTTTTCAAATGAATTTCAAACTCATTTAAGTGATTATTGGAATTTTATTAAACATGAAAATTAATATTTTTTATATTTCTTTTCCATTCAAAACATGTAAGCTTCTCCTTTTGTCTTATTTTATATACATCAATAAAATTTTCTAGGTTTTTCAAATGGGTCCTATGAATTTATTATGTATTTGTGTGCACACATATATACCTAACAATAAATTCTTATATATAGTATGAATTTATATGTGCATGTGTATGTGTATGTGTGTGTATATACATACAGTCAGATCTTTTTTACTTTCTTTTTTTTTTTTTTTAGGTGTTAGGGATTGAACCCAGGGCCTCATGCAGGCTAGGCAAGTGCTCTATCACCAAGCTACATCCCCATTTTATTTTCTGATTGTTCTTATAAATAAAGTTCTAGATTTGTGTATATTTCATTAGTAATCAGTCACCATACTTACCACTTTTATTTACTAATATTATTGTTTAATTTTCTAGTTTTTCAGATAACAATTGTATAATATGCAAAAATGATGATCCTTGTCTCTTTCTATCTATAGTTGGATAAACTATGGGATTAACTGAAGAGTATATTAATTTAAAAAAGCATAGATTCATTCCTTCCTTCAACACATTTCTGATAACCATGACCAACATCTGACATTTTTTCTTCCTGCCATTCCCCTGTGCTTACACACACGTATGTATAGATGAATCCTGGGTGAATAAATATGTGGAGACAGACTGATGTCAGCATAACAGAAGGCTGCTCTATAAGCTTCTTCAAACTCAAGGCACTGTAGTTAATGCTATGGGGAACAATAATAGAGAAGAAGATGGGAACCAAGAAAGCTTTGAATTGTGAAGATAACTGGGATGATTCCTCTGTAACAAGGCAAGGGCATGGGTCTAGGTTGTAAAGTCAGCAATAAACCATTGACACCATGGGACAGAGATACCATGTCGACCAATGTGCCTGATAGTCTGGGGTAGAGAAAGTAGGAGATTCTGGGACTTCCCACTAATAGGGCATCTGGTGCTCAAGCAACTTACTGAAAATATACAAATGTGATTGGTTTTATCCTGTCACACATCATGCTTGTTAAAGGAAACTCTAGGGCTTTGAATATATTATGTCAAGACCTTGTCATTTCCCCTCCCTGGACATCACTCTCCTTTATTTAGTGGCCATTTACTAGGTAGTTCTCCCAGAAATGTCTCCTGTAGAGAGGAACCTTCCCAAGCCACTTGAGCTAAGTAGGGTCTATTATCTACAGTCATTATCAAACCTATAAGCCTATTTTATTTTCTTCAAAGCACTTTATGAAATTACACTATATTTTACCATTTATTTACACTAGGGGCTGGCAAACCTTTTCTGTAAAGGAACAGATGTTACATATTTTAGGTTTTGTGAGCCACGTGGTCCCTGTTATAATTACTCAGCTCTGCAGTCATGGAAGCCCTCATACTCAGTATATAAATGAATGACCATGATGATATTCCAGTGTACTTACTTATACCCACAAATATGAATTTCACATAATTTTCTTGTGTCAAAAATTGTATTTTTCTTTTGATTCTTAAAATAATTTAAAAAACAGGAAATAATTCTTAGCTCACAATTTTTATAAAAATAAGCAGTAGGCTAGATTTGAACTTCAGGATGTATATAGTTTGCTAATACCTGGTTACATATTTATTTTCTGTTCATCTTATGCCATCTACCTTCCAGCTTCAAAAGGGAAAAATCAAAGCTGGGTTTGTGACTCAGTGGTAGAGCACTTGCCTAGCACATGTGATGCACTAGGTTAAATCCCCAGAACCACATAAAAATAAAAAATAAAATAAAGGTATTGTGTCCATCTACAACAAAAAAAATTTTTAAAAAGGAAAAATTATTTTCTGTAATCCCATGGTGGGTACAATAGAGTCTCTCAATAAATATCTTCCAGCAGAAATTAATCAAAAAGCATTCAACTGTAGTGTGATATGTGTTATACTCTTGAATATAAGCTATTATGAAAAAAACATCTATGATAAATGGCATCTCCTATTTGTATAATGTTCAACATGCACAACCTTATGTAATGGCCCTGGGCATCTTATACATTCTTTCAATCCTTTATGATCTTTTTTCCTTTATTTAATTAGTATGGTGCCAATTCTATAATTCCTATTCTATGGTTATAAGCATAATTCTTTAAATATCATTTTGGCTTCTTTTTGCTGTGATCATTTATTAATACAGCTTGTTAGTACTGTCACAGCTATTCCACTTCTATTTCTAAGTATTGTAAAGATTCAATTTGGAAAAATTAAACCTACACAGAAAAACTGAACACAGATTTCTTTAGTACCTCACAGTTCTCCAAAATTTTAGGAAGAAATACTTACATAAATTCTCTGAGCCACTGCCATGTGTATACCTGGTATTTTTATTAATACTCTCAATAGCTCGAACTGCTTCACTGGCCACCAGAGACTAGAAGCAATAGGATATGGAATTTCAGTTCATGTGAAACTTTGAAACGGGACAGGTAGAAGTTTCTAAAAACACAATCATGTTAATTGAATCAAAGTGTTTATACAAAAAGTATGAATTTGTCCGAAAAGGAAAAATAAGGAGAATAATGCAACAACTAAAACACGTTTTCCACTTCATGGCAATCACAACTGGGTGAACTTATCTTCCAATGCACTGCAAATTTGATTTAATTTGCATAAAAATAATTTTCACATAACTTTTCAGGAA